GCCGTGTCCCCAGTGAACAGTGTGATGTTTGCAGCTCGGCTGTCCTGCATGACTTGAGTGGTCACTTGTTTCACAGGAGCTCAGCTTGACCTCATGCTTTGTCCTGGCACCTGTCCCTCACTCACCTGCTGCTCTTTCCCACAGCTTCAGATAATTACAGAATAGCAAATGATAGACAGGTGTACAGCCAGGCCGAAGCGGGAGTCACCGTTGCATTGCAGAGTGGCTTTAACTTGTTCAGTTCAGCAGTCACCCTGAACCTGAGGCTCACACCTGCACACAGCAAGAGTGTGATGAATGCCAGGCTGTAAGGATGGGCACTGGGTGGCTCATTTCAAATGTGAGGGCCTGCTATGAGCACAGGGGCTGTGCAGACTCCCGCTGAGAAGAGACTGGAGTATAGAAATGCAGAGTGTGGATCCTCAGAGAATTCAGGGGAAGGGGTTGAGAGCTGAGAATCGATTGAGGGCCATGAGATTGGAAGTCATCAAGCAAAATCAGGGCTGGTCTGGCCCTCAGCACAGGTGCAACTCTCTTCAGGGCTGGAGTCAGCCAGAGAGCAGGACAGGGGCCCTGATGTCCTGCCACACTGCTCTTCCTCATGGAATTCTCGTTCTTGGGCCTCATAGCCCAAGAAACCTGTGTGAGCAGCCATGGGCTCAAGACTCCTAGAGGACAGAGGGCCAGGGCTTCCATGGGTCTTCCCCAGACTCAGCCCAGCATCAAGTGCACAGCACCGGGTCCTTTGTGCAGGGCTTGCCCTGGGCAGGGCAGCCCAGCTGTACTGGCAGAGTCACTGGGAGAGGGAGAGACAGAAGGAGTCACAGAGAAAGATGCCGTGAGAGGATGGAGAGACAGACACACAGGCTCAGAGAGATTGAGAAAACAGAGGGTGAGAGGCAGAGAGAGAGGTGGGGAGATAGACGCAGAGGGAGGTCCGAGGCAGGAGATGGCCACAGCAGCTTGTGGGTCCCCTCCATCTCCATCGGTGTGCTTGGGACAGAGGTGACAGTGTCATTCCCCAAGCACTCACTGTCCAGGTGATCAGGCAGGATGGTCCCCAATCTCATGACTAGGTCGAGCCTCCATCATTTGGATCCCTGCACTCATTAGGATCTCCCATGACTATCTTGGGTCGACAAACACGATTCGGGACCCTGCCTCAGCAGCTCATGCCATTACCTCTTGTGGACCTGCAGCCTTTTCCTCAGTTTAGCTTATCTGGGCTAAGCAAGGGTTCACGTCAGTGTCATGGGTGCCAGGGGATGCTTTAGGTCAGGGGCGAATCCCTAGACCCTGCCCCATGGGCCAGGCCTGTATGACAGGGCACAGGTGAGCACAGGGCTATGAGACACGGGGACTACCGGGGGCAGGGGTTGGGCTGTGGGGATGGTGAGCCAGCGGCCACCCCTGACTTTGTTGCTCAAGGACATAGCTGGTGCTGACTGAGCGCTTTGTCCATGTGCCACATGGTGAGCCTGGTGATTGGAAGAACCGACCACGTACCTGCTTTGAGCACCAACCTCTTTGGCCCTTCAGGGACCAGAAAGCCTGCAGGGCTCAAAGAGCTCCCTGACCACCCAAGCAAGGGAGAGCAGACTGCAGCCCTGAGGTGCCTGGGAGTTGCTAGCACATGTGGACAGAGGTGTCCAATGTGGTGCTGGCCACACCATGCGAGAGGCATGTCCCTTCTCCCATCCACCATGTCTATGCTCAGTGCTCTTCAGGTGGTACACAGCATCACTGGGGTCAGGAAGGCATGGCCAGGACCCAGGCCAGCCATCTCTGCGGGCTCAGGGCTCCTGGCAGACTCTGCTGTGCTCATGAGCCTCCTCGGCTGCCATAGTGAGAGGTGCCCCATTTGTGGCCAGCAGCAGTGATACAACAACAAGGACAGCCTGCCATCCCTCCTGTCCCCGTTGTCATACTGGCTCCTCTTTGTTTACCCGTGGCCTCTCACAATCAGGACCAGACGTCAGAGAAGGCCAAACCATGTCCTGGAGAAGCCCTTTAGGGACAGCATCTGGAAAGGTGGGGCTCCTCCAAGTGACACACTGAGACCGGCGCACTTGGCCGTGTGGCAGAAAGTAACCCAAATCCTTCACGTGTTGGTCTGGGGGTGTTTGTCTGCCTGTCTTGGAGCAGGAGCTGAGTGATGTGATGGGCAGGCCTCTAGTGCTGCAGAATACTCATAGGTAACAGTGGCACAAGAAGTACACAGCCATGAGGCACCAGTTGCTGTTGGCAGGCCCACAAGAGACCCCTGGAGAGGGCACATTCTGCCGCCCTGGCTCTCCTGCCCTTCACGAAAGTGACTGGCCCAGACCTCCTCCAGACAAGCCGAGGTTGCGGGGCCACCCCCACAGCAGACAGACACCTGGGACTGCACCTGCATGCCAGAGCTTCCTGCCCTCAGGTGTTACTGTAGCTCTGCTAAGGGGCAGATCTCAAATGAGGGGAAGTGGCCAAGTTTGAGCCTTGATGCTGCCCTCTGAATGACGCTGCCCTTGGGACATGAACTTGTGCTTTAGAACATTCTGTCCCTCCCTCATGCGTTCTCCTGGTCTGGAAGAACATCAGCACCACACCAGCTGGAGTTCGTTCTGTGGGTGGCTCATGCTGCCTCTAATCTGGGTAGGCGCAGAGCAGGCCAAGCCCTTCTCTCTGAAGCTCACTACATCACAGGTCTCAGCAAAGCTTGGCGAATGCAGAGGTTTCCTGGACGTGCAGAAGCACAGGTGGGATTCTGGAAGCTCCATGTCCTAGTTGAGAATCCTAGGCAGGATCCCGATATCCTGATGCAAGGTCATCCTGAGGTGAGTGGAGGGCTATCCAGAAGCCGTGTCCCTGCAGCAGAGGGATGTTCCCTGCAGAAACAGGGTGGCCAGCAGGGGCGAGGATGTAGAATGCAGACCCATGCAGACTCTGCAGGCAGCAGGGGCCCCAAGGCTGCCACCTTTCCTGGTCACCATACTCCCTCTGTGTCCAGGTCCCTCAGAAAGCCTGAGAAGAAAGTAGCGGGAACACCTCCTCCTGCGGCAGGGTGCCTTTCCAGGCTCAGCTTGCAGACATGTCAGCATGTTCCACACACGGCCTCACTCTCGGGTGGAGCACAGATCCCTGAGCGAGCATGTGCTTGTGGCCATACTGCTGCCCACAGCCAGTCCTCCACACAAACGGCCCAGACACGTGAAGTGGAGACCTCGCCGCCGTGTTTCCGAGTAGTCTTGGCCCTCGTGACTCCCCTTGGGGCTTGTGGCCTGTGCACCTGGGAGGAGGCAGCCCTCTGAGCGTGTCCATCTCACTCCTTGGGGATGCATTTGTCCTTTCATAAAGCAAATGGCCTGTAGGAGAGAAGGTGTTTTCTGCACGCCCTGGAGGTGCTCTCTAGCAAATGGTAGGTTGGATTTATTGATGTTTGTAGAAGTCTGTCAGACCTTACATGTTGTGGCTCAGTGCAGGATAACCAGGATGTTGCTTCCTGTTATTCCTAGATTGAACTAAAATATTTTTCAATAACAAAAGTCTTTTCTGCATAAAATCTATAAAGTTCCAGAGGTTTCACATCTCAGCCCTAACCCAACCAGTATTTTCTACAAGTCTGTAGACCTCATTTCTTCGAATCATTAGTAGATATTAACTATCCTTACTGTGATTTTTAATACAGATAGCAGAGAAGAGGTATGCAGATAGCATGTGGTTAACCAAGTCCCATCTAAGGGAGGAGATTCATTTGAAAGTCATTCATTATTTGTTGGAGATTTATTTATTCGGTTCAAAGAGTGAAAGGGAAAAAGCAGAGAGAAAAAGAGAACTTGTGCATCTGCTGGTTTACTCACCCAAGTGAGCACAGCAGCCAGGACAGGGCTATGCCATCCCAGGAGCCTGGTACCCACCTGCGTCACCACACAGATGACAGGACCCAAGCCTGTGAACCGTTAACCACCGCTCTCCCAGGTGCCAGAGCTGGGCCGGAAGTAGGCAGCAGGACTTGAACCAGCACTACGGCAAGGCCCACCAGCTTGGCAGGTGTCAGCTTTCCCTCTAGACCACAGCACCATCTCCCAGAGAAGTTACATTATCTCTGTTTTGCAGCACACCCAGTAGCAGCCCTATCACACGGTAAGTAGAGCCCCACACCTGCTCTGAGTACAAAACACATGGGCGATGTGTGACTTCACATGATCTTCCTGGAGAAGATAATCTAAACCCTCTTTGGAGATCCTATACTGTGCCAGCTCTGCTCAGAACCTATGGCTGCATACTGTGTGGAGGTGCACCACACACGGCAAGTTGATCACTTAGCAGAAGAGCATGTCTGCAGGTTGCCTCCCGCTCCTCAGGCTGTCTCAAGGCCATCAGTGACAGCTGTCCTTTTTCTGTCCTATGCCCCCAACCTGTAGATACACATGGGGAGCACAGAGCTTCAGATTTCCTTTCCAAACCTCACTGTGAAATTCCTGATGCTTCACTGTGTACTGGGATCTGTGGTCTCACAGTGTCAGATTCCAGTTAGCTCCTTCACCCCCAAGACGTGCCTGCCACACAGGTGGTTCTCAGAATAAGACATGCTTTCCTTCACAGCACCACCGTGGAGATAGGGGTGGCCACTGACAGCCAGAGGCCTCTGGGGAAGCCAGGTGGCAGGGAGCAGGGGTCTAGTGCCTGCACCTGGGAGGATGAGGGCTGCAGGCAAAGGAAGCCAGTGGAGGAAAGGAGCCTTTCTGAAAGCTGAGGAGGAGTGATGGGGAGTAAGTAAAAGCTCTGTCTGTGCATGATGTGCACCACGTTTGCCCCTTAAGGTGGATGAAGGGAGCCTTTGGTGCCCAGCCAGCATCTGGGGGCCTCTTATGCAGTCCCTTCTGCTGGGCTTGGCTCCCACAGCCCCCCACCAGTGGGACTCCGGGAGTGAGCAAAAGACTGAACTTGCGGCCCTCACTGTTACAACTAAGCCTCACTCTCTAGCCATTGCTCTTCTGTCTTTTGTATCTCCTTCACAGATGACCACCAGATGAGCTGTCATAGCACTCGAATCCTGCAAGACACAGAGAAGGACGACAACAACAACGACGAGTATGATAATTACGACGAGCTAGTGGCCAAGTCGCTGCTGAATCTTGGCAAAATCGCTGAGGACGCTGCATACCGAGCCAGGACCGAGTCCGAGATGAACAGCAACACCTCCAACAGCCTGGAGGACGACAGTGACAAAAACGAGAACCTGGGCCGCAAGAGTGAGCTGAGCCTGGACCTGGACAGTGATGTCGTCCGGGAGACTGTGGACTCACTGAAGCTGCTGGCACAAGGGCACGGGGTCGTGCTTTCCGACAGCCTCCACGACAGGGGCTACAACGACAGTGTGTCCCAGCAGGACGGCCGGGGCGTGAACTACGTCATGCTGGGGAAGCCTGTCAACAACGGGCTCACGGACAAGATGGTGGAGGAGAGCGACGAGGAGGTGTGCCTGAGCAGCCTCGAATGCCTGCGCAACCAGTGCTTTGACCTGGCCCGCAAGCTCAGCGAGACCAGCCCGCCCGAGAGGAGTCAGCAGTCCAGCGTGAGCACCCGGCAGCATGCACGGCCTGAGGACGACTTCCCAGGCAGGACGCCCGATAGGAGCTATTCGGACATGATGAACCTCATGCGGCTCGAGGAGCAACTGAGTCCCCGCTCAAGAACGTTCTCTAGCTGTGCAAAGGAGGATGGGTGTCGTGAGCGGGACGACGACACCACCTCTGTCAACTCTGACCGGTCCGAAGAGGTATTTGACATGACCAAGGGCAACCTGACCCTCCTGGAGAAAGCCATCGCCCTGGAGACGGAGCGGGCCAAGGCCATGAGGGAGAAGATGGCCCTGGAGGCAGGCCGGAGGGACAGCCTACGGTCATACGAGGACCAGTCTCCACGCCAGCTCTCTGGGGAAGACAGGAAGCCCAAATCCAGTGACAGCCACGTCAAAAAGCCATACTATGGTAAAGGTAATGTTTCTACCTAGTGTTGAATGGCTGGCCGAGGAGTGGCCAGCGTCCACAGGCACGGTGTCCAGTGTGCGGAGCCCTGGCAGTGCCATACACCATGGCTCTGCCTTCAGAATCCTGCTCTGCACTTGTGTTTCTGAAGAGCAAACCTAGAGTTGAAAAGTGCAGGGAGTGGCACAGTGTCATCTTGTGGAGGCAGATGAGCAGTGTGGGAGTCCTAGGGAGGTGCAGCCCCTGGAAAGAGCAGGTTAGTAAGCATAGCATCTGGGCAGGCTAGGACTGTGGTCCAGGAGTCGCCTCCTGCCAGGAGTGGTCAGGGCCTATGTAGCCATCAGTCTCTCAGAGAGGAGGTGTGGGGTCCTTCAGTGATACTCATTGACAGAAGCATCTCAAATGACAGCCACCAGGTCAGGAGCACTAGGAGCCATCGGCTACACAGATGGCCATGGCTTTGGCTGAAAACAATTGCAGCGTCCATGGCTGCTCACCCCTGCGTGGCTTCCATTCCATGTGGCGAGAGCCATGGTGCTTTCCTCAGATACAGCGTGTCCCTCAACCCTCAAAACTATCCAGAGCGATAGTTTTAGCTGGACATTCTGTTATTAAATCCACAGGCACGCATTTGTATATGTCTATATATTTAACTATATATGCATACTTGTACTATACATATATATTATAAATATATCAATATATACAACCTGACTTTTTGTTGACAACAGTGGCAGAAACTATGTTCAAGTTGAGGCCTTCTACAGAACCCTGGCACTGCTGGTGTCTCAACAAAAAGCTTCTTAGAGAAGTATTTGGAAGGGTGAAATCAGGACCTGGCCCTCCGATCCTGAATCAGGGTGAAGTCCAATCATTGTGTCTTCTCGCTTTGGACCTGATAATAAGGGCCAAGGATTCAGTGTGAAGATCAGTTGCTGCGTGGATCTGAACGCCCAGTAACACTGCCCTTGTCCTGGCGTGCTATAGTCATGGATACTCAGAGTGTGCTCCTTTGCTCTGTGCATGTTGCGCACTGCTGTGAACACATCCCTGCTGTGTTACTGTGAGCTGGAGGCTCGGTGGGTGCAGGGTGCAAGCATGTGCCCTGGCAGTGAGGAGGATACAGAGGAGAGGACTGCCTTGTTGCCAGGCCTTGGGTGTGGCAGAAGAAATGGCTGGCAGCTGAGCAGAGTTGCAGGCTTTGCTGTAGAGAGCCCAAGGCCAAGGTTGAGCACGCTCTCAGCTGACAATCCCTCAGGGGACTCTCAAGTCCAGCTTGTCCAAAAGTGTGGAGAGATGCTGCCCACCCTGCCGGCTGACATGGGGCCTGGTTCCTATCTCAGGGCCTTTATTTTCTATGGTTTCTCTGGGCTAATTTTGGCTCATTTTGTCTGGTTATTATTTCATTTTGTTCTGTCTGCTAGAAATGGAACTTAAACAGTTGCTTCTGCAGGATAAATGAAGCAAACCGGTGGGGAGCTGCCTTTCCCCTAGTTAGAGCAGCCAGAGTCCCTCCGCTGCTGCCAACCCCACTTCTCCAGGGCTGAGTGCCATTGCCTGCCCTGCCAGGGCTCCCTGCATTGTTCCTGGGCTCCTCTGCAGGTGGCTGTGATTATGTTCGGGACAAGTTCACCACGCCCAGCAGGACCAAGAGAGCAGCTCCCTTTGAGACCAGATGATGGCCTAACATGTCTCACAGGAGCGCTAGTTGAGGCCCTGCCACCATGTGCAGAACAAGGCTAATGACGGGAGAGTGCTGGTATCCATCCTTAGCCCCACACAGACTTGTCAAACTGACGCCGCGTGTCATAGAGGAGCAGTTCTGGGATCTTGAGCTAATGCAGAGGTCAGTCTTGAAGCCTGGCGAGAGGTCAAGGGGAGCACATGAAACCCAGCACCCCGAGTGTCTCTGTAAGTTGGGGCAGTGTTTGCAGTTATATTGTTGGTTTTGGTGCTTGCTTGGGTGTTTCATGTGAGCTGTTGTTTTCACTTGAGATGGGTTGGGATGGTGAGACCAGAAATGTTGGGGAGAGCCTCCACGCTGCGCCTGAGCCCGGGCATGCGTCGAGGCGACAGTGTACCCTGTCATCTTCTAGACCCTGAGAGGACTTTGAGCCGTTTTTATACAAACTTGCTGAAATTCAGAGCACTCTTGACATTTGTGAAACATGATTTGTGAAGAAGTCACAGGGATCCTGATGAAATAGTCTCTTGATGATTAACTATACTAACAGCCTTTTATCCTGACAAGTATCTATATTTGATTAAATATCCCTTATCTCTAGCTCACAATTTTAAAAAATAACTATTTTCATTCAGAATTTCTTCTGTACACTTACTGTTTCGAAACCACATGAACTAAGCAGTGCTCACTCGAACTGTTCTGAACTCAGGAGGATTTGAGTGCGTGGGTGTCAGTGAAGCCCTGGTGAAGTGACTAGAAGTTCAGGTCCCAGCCACCAGTGTGTGGTAGAAGTGCTGACTGACGGTGCAGCACCAGCTCTGATGGAGGAGGCTCTGACCCCAAGAGACCCAGCAAAGGAAACCGGCACCCAGAAAAGTGCTTTTGGTAACAACCCGGTAACTTTTGTATACTCCAGTGAGTTGTTGGTCTATTTCAAGTTCACACAAGTGACTTAAGGAAATCCAACAAGAGTGCAAAACTTTTCAAGCCGAACTTTTCCCTTAAGGTAAAGAGTGAGTTCTTCAGCAAGACGCACCTTTCCTGGCACCTGTGGCTGGCCTGGTTAGAGAGCCGTCGTGTGAAGAACCAGACTCCCTCAGAGCACTGCGCTGCAGCATTCTGGGTGCCAAATCACAGGGGGAACTGACTTTGAGCAGCTTGTTTTCAGACTGACTGAGAACAGACCAGGGCCTGCTGCTACCTGCCGGTCTGAGCTCTGCTTTAGAAATGCTTTCCGGGGTCAGTGAACCACCCAGTTTGCAACTGTAGTCAGTGCTGAATATGGAAATGGTTTTATGAATGAGCAATTTCATTTCATCGCTGGCATCTCGCATTCAATGCTGGACGCAAGATTGGCTCCGCCCCACCCTGGCTGGGGTTGCCAGGGAGGCCACCAGGACTGCTACACACCGTGGCCTCAGTCCTGGGTTGCATGCAGCTTGTCCCCTGGGACAGGCCAAGGAGCCGATCCCATGGCTGCTGCCCACCCCGCCCGTCAGATGGGACCCCCACTCCTGACCGCTGGCTTCTAGGGCTTCCTGAGAATTCCATTTCTGTGCAGACCCTGAATTGCTGTGCACCCCTGGGGAGCAGACCCCGCCATGGCGGAAATGCAACTGCTGTGCACGGCATCTGAACACTGGCCTCCCAATAGAGGAGCCACTCGCTGCTGGCGACCACTGTCCCAGCTCAGTGGACGGTGACGTGCCCAGCAGCACAGCTTGTCATGTAACACACGGGAACATATTCTGCCAGAGTGCAAGCAAGAGCCAGGTTCTGTCCTCTGGGCAGGCCCCTGGCACTGGCAGCAGGCAGCAACAGCTCTCTCGAGGTTGTTGAGTAGTCACGGTCGTCTCCATTGGTAAACACTCGTTCTCTTGGCACCTGTTGTCGCTTTTAGATCCCTCAAGAACAGAAAAGAAAGAGAGCAAGTGTCCAACCCCTGGGTGCGATGGAACCGGCCACGTCACGGGGCTCTACCCGCATCATCGCAGTCTGTCCGGGTGCCCGCACAAAGATAGGGTCCCTCCGGAAAGTAAGTCCCTGCCTCCGCGTCCCCGGGCCACACCCCACCTGCCTGACATCATCTCCATCTCACCGGGCCCTCTCCGTCCTCCGGACAAGCCTCCCTACAGAGCGGGGGAGTTCACTGCCTGCGCCCAGCTGCCACTCTGTTCCGACCGGCCCCATGACCTCAGGCAGGTCACTTCTCTACTCTCCTCCCTCAGCTTCTCAACTTAAGCCAGACAGTGCCCGCCACATCCCTGCCTGCTCCCTAGCAGCCCATCCCTGCAGGTCCTAGGACCTCTGCCAGTACTCGAAAGGTTTTCCTACCCACAACCCATGAGGGCCATTCAGGGTCATAGCTCTCCTCACGCCAGTACCCCCAGACTGCCCGTGTGGAGGCTAACCTGGGACGGGTTCTGATCTCAGTGTGAAAACAGACTTGCCTTAGAGCCAAGAGGACACACATGGTCCTCCTGCTCAGCGGTCAGATGCACCAGCTGCTTAGCTGCCTTTAAAGCAGCTGGCCCAGGCCGAGGCACACTCCTGACCCCCAAGATGAGGACATAGGTGTCAGGTCCCGCCTGGAAGCCTGGGGCAGTACAGGGTTCTGCTCACCACTTGAAAGCCCACTGCCAGCAGTAACAAGGCCCCAGGCTGACTACTTTTCAGAGCCAGCACACTGACAGCGACATGCTGGCCAGACAAGGCCACCTGAGCCAGGAGAGGTGTGTGGGGGTCTGAGGTCAGGAAGCGAGGTTAACCAGCATGCAGGAGCAACAACTCAGAACCTACAGGCTCAGGCTTTCCCAGTAGCTGCTGCGACAGCCGCCTGGCGAGCAGGTATCCCGAGTGTGCGGCTGCAGTCCCGTGTGTTACATGAGCAGGAAGGCAACGTAGTCCCAGGCCAGCAGCTCCTCCCAGCAGACACTGCCCTGCGCGGTGAGCCAGGAGCCTGCTACGGAGGGCAGGGAGAACCCAGGGAGCATCCGCTCCCCTAGCCCAAGGATGCGGGTGTGGGCAGGTGCTAACTTGCCTGAATGAATCACCCAGCTGAGAATAGACCCCATCTGGCACCCCCAAACCTGCCTGTCTCCCGCAGGACCTGGCAGGCTGTGTGACATGGAGCATGGTGCACGTTCTCCACACTCTGCTTTCCTCATCTGTGGAATGAGGCATTAGCACCTAGCCCTGACACTGCCAAAGAAAGGTTTTCCGTGGCACACACCCATCTTTGGCCCGGAGTATCGGGATCTTCGTGCAGCCCAGAGCTTCCTCACTTGGTCCTTTGACAGGCAGAGGTCAAAACTGCAGTGGCAGTGTACAGACCATGCCTGCCCTAGGTCAGGCCACATCTGGGGTTGCCTTAGCCCAGGAGAAAGCAGGGCTCACACAGCATAGTACAGAGCCACTGGGGGCAGTGCTTTGTAGTACCCTAAAAAAAGGGGGACCCCCAACGGGCTCTGTCTGCTTGCTTGCTGGCATGCTCTTCCGGGTTGGCTTCTCACGTCCTCCGTTCCGCCTAGCTGCATCCAACGGAGACCTCCGCAGCACACTGCCCAGGCTGCAGCTGGCACACCCGCAGGCAGGGGTGCTCCTGGCTGGCTGAGGAGAGGGCCTGAGTCCAAGCAGAAGGCCACTACCCTGCCCAATGGAGACTCAGCCCCCAGACATGGTGTGGGGTGCTGGGTGACCACTCAAGGAGCTGCGTGCTTTCCTGAGGCTCTGTCCTGGCCATGCAGTGTGAGAAGGAAGCCACAACATTCTCTAGAGGCTCTCATGGAATCCACATGAGCCACCACCCCCCGCTCCCCTCCCGCCACCCACCCACTCCAGGCAGTGGGATTGGAGGGACTATGACAGCGCAGGGAGCAAGGACACCTGAACCACTGGGTGTTGAGAGGGAGAGCAAGGGGAGCCTGGGAGGAGTCCTCCGTGAAAGTGAGGGTGATGAGAGCAGCACTGAACACCGGAAGTTGAGTGCAAGACCACGTCCTGAGGGAACCTGTGCTTGAGCTGAGGTTCAGGCTTTCAGGAGGGTGTGAGACCTGGTAGGGTCCCCAGGGACATGTGCTCCCAGCAGCATCCATAGAGACTGCAGATGTGACTGTCCAGGGAGAGGGCACAACATGGGAACAAATAGGGACAGGAACAAGGTCGCCAGTGTCCAGAGGATGAAGCAGAGCAGGAGTGGTTGGTGGGGAGCCTGCCAGCCAGAAGCAGAAAAGGCCAAGAAGGCTGGGGTTTCTGAGGACGTGCGCCTGTCAAGACAGCGCCCAGGTCCCATAGGATCCCAGGGTGGGCCGCAGAGGGACTGAGGAGAGGGGCTACTGAGACCATCGTAAGGTATGTGTGAACAATGAGCTGCAGGAGCTCTAGGCTTTCAAAGCTTGGAACAGGTTTGTTCAGCACTTAGAAGAAAAGTCTAGACAAAGGCAACAGCAGCTTCCCTGCAACTTAGCACCTGCAGCTGACACTGGGTCTCTGGCTGCTTAGCTGCATGAACAGTGGGACATCTGGGTCCAGTCCAGACATCAGGCGCTTACTGCCTCTAGGGGAGCTCGGAGAAGAGAAGAGCTGCCTTGCAGCATGGGAGGGAACCCTAAGGTGGATAAGTGCTGCCTTGTGGGTAACTTCCACCCAAATCCTGAGGACTAGGAAGGGACACGGGAGGGGATCGTTCCACTAAGGGAAGGGTCAGGGCCTAGAGTCCTGCCCAAGCCAGACTCTGCACTGGTGGGCCCAGGCCAACTCTGTGGCTTTTTAAAGATTGATCAACTATGTATTTACTTGAAGACAGAGGGAGGGAGAGCTTCCACTCACTGGTTTCCTCCCCAAATGCCCATCAGGGACCAGGGGCTTGGGTTGTTCACCGCCTTCCAGGGTGCGTTATTAGTAGGAACCTGAGGCCGAAGTGGAGAAGCATGGGCTTGACCTGACACTCCAGTGTGGGACATAGTACCTACCACTGTACCATGACACCAGCCCCAGTGCCATGGTGGTTTCATTGCTATCTACTGAGCATGAACCAAATCTAAGGGCAAGGCAGGAGCTGTGTGAGCCACAGGGACTGAGTTTAGAACTGACTGGTGGCAAGAAAGTATAACAGACTCAGATAAGAGAGATGTGTGGACGTTGAGCCCAGTGCCTGGTGCACCACAGAACCTCGGGGAAAAGCCACTCACAGGGTTCCCATGAGGGTGCCTGTCTGTCCTCACCGCCTCCAGGGGACTCATGAGGGTTATTTTCTTCTGTCTCCAGTTTGGGGCGACTTACAGCAAGGTCAGGCGGCAGCATTCTCATTATCTCTAGGCCCGTAGCCCCCACCTTCTCCCAAAGCCTGAAATCTGACTGCTTAGTACATCCAAAATTGAGGGGCACAGACTGAGCAAGTCAGTGCCCTCCATGGGGGTGTAGCAAATCCCTCTGCAGCAGTGGACAGCAGCCGCCCCAACAGGAACATCCCACTGCTGTCGCTGGTTGTTGTGGGATGCTAAAATGTTTACATTTGGCTTAATTAACAGCCCCAAATTGAGTCATGGATGAAAAGGCGTAGGTTGGTCTGATGTGTTACCAGGCCTTGCTATTCTCACTGTGGCCCGCCTCCCAGCCGTGATAGTTTCCCCAACACAGACCGCAGTGAACAGTGCCACTTCAGCTCATGTACAGTGGGGTGGGAAGAGGCCCAAGTTCAAGAACGTTCCCTCTCCCGATCAGTCTTGGGCTTGAGTACTTTATGGAAATTGAAAAAGGTTGGAAACAGTCTTTGAAATGGAGAAGCCCTCCTGAATTGACCATCCCACATTGAATGCAGGTGTTACCTTCCCCAGGTACCCCACAGATGTGTGTGACTGAGCCTCAGAAAGATCAAAAGGTCCATTGTACACACTGCTTCCCAGCATGCCTCAGCATTCTTAGTCATCTCCTGCAGGGATGACTTGGGAGACCCTTGCTTCATGACGCCACAAGACACGTGTCCACTTACATTCTCCGGCCTCTATGGCCACTGCCCAGCACAGCCCACTGGGCATGCTCCCTCCCCTCCTCCTTCCTCCTCTGTGTGTGTGTGTGTGTGTGTGTTCCTGACCATGCCCATCCCAGATACACAAGGACTGTCTATCGTGAGTCTACTTGGCCTCCATGACGATGACTGCATCTTGGTGTATCCTGCCACGTCTCTGTTTAATGCTGGGCTGTTTTCTCTGCTCTCCTTGTCAAGTTCTCGCCATGCACGAAAATGTGCTCAAGTGTCCCACTCCGGGCTGCACAGGGCGAGGGCACGTGAATAGCAACAGGAACTCACACCGAAGGTAAGCTGCCCCACGCCGCAGCCCCTGGGCACAGGGGTCCACCTCTCCTGGCCTGGGGGCATGGACAGTCCCCAGCATGTGGTTCCTGAGGGGAGGTCAGGCTCTGGTGTCTCCATTTTGCACGTTGGATTTTCCAGCCTGTCTCGCCCACCCTGTTGTAACAATAACCCCTGGAAGGTGCCAGTTGGTCTTCAAGTCTAAGAAGTCTGAGCGCTTCTGCCCAGGCTGCATCATCCTTGGAGAGGGGCCACATTGGCCCACACCACCCAAAGGATGTTCTGATATCCGATGAGAACAGGCTAAACACGGACATCGCCAAAATGTCAGCAGGTGACCTGGGGTGTTGACATGGGCCACGGCCACCAGCTGATGTATCGGGGGTTGCTGTGTTAGGGTCGAACTGCAGCCCACTTCATGCTGATGCCAGTGCTCTGTGGTGACCCCAATGGCTCTGGGGAGGTGGCACCTGGCAGTGACAGGCTGTAAGCCACAGCATAAAGGGCTCTGGGGAGCAGACGCCTCAGCCTCTGGCAATGCTGTAGTGGAAACTGTTGCCTGTGCTGCTCTGCCTGGCAAATATGGTGTCCTGAGCTGATCTGGAATGCACAAGGCACAGCTATGTATTTGCTAGAGATTTCTGAAACATGACCAGCAGGAGGAGGGCAGTGAGAGGTGCATAGGGCACACATAGATCTGTCCCACCCTCAGCTGGCCAGATGGCTGCAGGACTGAACAGTGCACAGAGTGAGCCACTGGGCGGGCACACTCAGAGATCTGGCTCTCACATGTGGGAGTCCTCATGGACTCTTCCTGGAAGAACAAGCACCAGCTGATTCCAATACCATTTTCTGCTGGTTCTGGGGCCATGCTGCTTCGTTGCCGGGTCCAGTGAAACACAGGGAAGCAACCAGGGACATACAGGGCCCCAGGAAGGCCATGTCCACAGGGGTAATCCCTCATCTCCAGAAAAGCTGGGTACCCAGTGTCCACACCCGTTTGCTCAACCAGCACCCATGACTACACAGAGACCGGGGAGACTTCGCCATCAAGCCTATGGTGCAGCCATTAGCACAGCCTTTCGGGCCAGCAGGAGCCACACCCATGAACTGCCCCACTTGTGCTCCCTTCAGGGTCCCTTGGTGGGGGAGGTACCTGCCCTGCTCTCCTGCTCTCAGGACTTCTTATGCTGAGCAGGAGGGGAAGCTGCTGGGGCAGGGCATGGCACTGCAGAGCCACACACCTCACACCGACTGAATGCCCTCTCTATTCACAGCCTCTCAGGATGCCCTATCGCCGCTGCAGAAAAATTGGCAAAGGCCCAGGAAAAGCACCAGAGCTGTGACGTTTCCAAGTCCAACCAGGCCTCTGACCGAGTTCTAAGGTACCAATTGGAGCCATAGGTCCCTTGTGGGACTTTATATTCAGCACAGCATAAACACAGGTCAAGGCATGGGAATACACAGAGGGGTAGAGTTCACTAAAAGTACCAGAACACAGGCACGCGCGGGGGTGACAGACCACGAGCACACAGAGCAGGCACACGCAGGGGTGACTGTCTACCAGCACAGAGCAGGCACGTGCGGGATGACAGACCACGAGCACACAGAGCAGGCACACGCAGGGGTGACAGTCCACCAGCACAGGGCAGGCACACGCAGGGGTGACAGACCACCAGCACAGAGCAGGCACGCGCGGGGGTGACAGACCACCAGCACAGAGCAGGCACACGCAGGGGTGACAGACCACCAGCACAGGGCAGGCACGCGCGGGATGACAGACCACCAGCACAGAGCAGGCACACGCAGGGGTGACAGACCACCAGCACAGGGCAGGCACACGCAGGGGTGACAGTCCACCAGCACAGAGCAGGCACGCGCGGGATGACAGACCACCAGCACAGGGCAGGCACACGCAGGGGTGACAGACCACGAGCACACAGAGCAGGCACGCGCAGGGGTGACAGTCCACCAGCACAGAGCAGGCACGCGCAGGGGTGACAGTCCACCAGCACAGAGCAGGCACGCAGGGGTGACAGACCACGAGCACTCAGAGCAGGCACGCGCAGGGGTGACAGACCACGAGCACACAGAGCAGGCACACGCAGGGGTGACAGTCCACCAGCACAGAGCAGGCACGCGCAGGGGTGACAGTCCACCAGCACAGGGCAGGCACACGCAGGGGTGACCATCCACCAGCACAGAGCAGGCACACGCAGGGGTGACAGACCACCAGCACAGAGCAGGCACACGCAGGGGTGACAGTCCACCAGCACAGAGCAGGCACACGCAGGGGTGACAGTCCACCAGCACAGGGCAGGCACGCGCGGGATGACAGACCACCAGCACAGGGCAGGCACACGCAGGGGTGACAGACCACGAGCACACAGAGCAGGCACGCGCAGGGGTGACAGTCCACCAGCACAGGGCAGGCACACGCAGGGGTGACCATCCACCAGCACAGAGCAGGCACGCGCAGGGATGACAGACCACGAGCACACAGAGCAGGCACACGCAGGGGTGACAGACCATGAGCACAGAGCAGGCACGCGCGGGATGACAGACCACCAGCACAGAGCAGGCACGCGCAGGGGTGACAGACCACGAGCACACAGAGCAGGCACACGCAGGGGTGACAGTCCACCAGCACAGAGCAGGCACGTGCGGGATGACAGACCACCAGCACAGGGCAGGCACACGCAGGGGTGACAGACCACGAGCACACAGAGCAGGCACGCGCAGGGGTGACAGTCCACCAGCACAGAGCAGGCACGCGCAGGGGTGACAGTCCACCAGCACAGAGCAGGCACGCGCAGGGGTGACAGACCACCAGCACAGAGCAGGCACACGCAGGGGTGACAGTCCACCAGCACAGAGCAGGCACACGCAGGGGTGACAGTCCACCAGCACAGAGCAGGCACACGCAGGGGTGACAGTCCACCAGCACAGGGCAGGCACACGCAGGGGTGACAGACCACGAGCACACAGAGCAGGCACACGCAGGGGTGACAGACCACCAGCACAGGGCAGGCACACGCAGGGGTGACAGTCCACCAGCACAGAGCAGGCACACGCAGGGGTGACAGTCCACCAGCACAGGGCAGGCACGCGCGGGATGACAGACCACCAGCACAGGGCAGGCACACGCAGGGGTGACAGACCACGAGCACACAGAGCAGGCACGCGCAGGGGTGACAGTCCACCAGCACAGGGCAGGCACACGCAGGGGTGACCATCCACCAGCACAGAGCAGGCACGCGCAGGGATGACAGACCACGAGCACACAGAGCAGGCACACGCAGGGGTGACAATGCACCAGCACAGAGCAGGCACACGCAGGGGTGACAGTCCACCAGCACAGAGCAGGCACACGCAGGGGTGACCATCCACCAGCACAGGGCAGGCACACGCAGGGGTGACAGACCACCAGCACAGGGCAGGCACGTGCGGGATGACAGACCACCAGCACAGGGCAGGCACACGCAGGGGTGACAGACCACGAGCACACAGAGCAGGCACACGCAGGGGTGACAGTCCACCAGCACAGAGCAGGCACGCGCAGGGGTGACAGTCCACCAGCACAGAGCAGGCACGCGCAGGGGTGACAGACCACCAGCACAGAGCAGGCACACGCAGGGGTGACAGTCCACCAGCACAGAGCAGGCACACGCAGGGGTGACAGTCCACCAGCACAGAGCAGGCACGCGCAGGGGTGACAGTCCACCAGCACAGGGCAGGCACGCGCGGGATGACAGACCACCAGCACAGGGCAGGCACACGCAGGGGTGACAGACCACGAGCACACAGAGCAGGCACGCGCAGGGGTGACAGTCCACCAGCACAGGGCAGGCACACGCAGGGGTGACCATCCACCAGCACAGAGCAGGCACGCGCAGGGATGACAGACCACCAGCACACAGAGCAGGCACACGCAGGGGTGACAATGCACCAGCACAGAGCAGGCACACGCAGGGGTGACAGTCCACCAGCACAGAGCAGGCACACGCAGGGGTGACCATCCACCAGCACAGGGCAGGCACACGCAGGGGTGACAGACCACCAGCACAGGGCAGGCACACGCAGGGGTGACCGTCCACCAGCACAGAGCAGGCACACGCAGGGGTGACAGTCCACCAGCACAGAGCAGGCACACGCAGGGGTGACAGTCCACCAGCACAGGGCAGGCACACGCAGGGGTGACAGACCACGAGCACACAGAGCAGGCACACGCAGGGGTGACAGTCCACCAGCACAGGGCAGGCACACGCAGGGGTGACCGTCCACCAGCACAGGGCAGGCACATGCAGGGGTGACCATCCACCAGCACAGGGCAGGCACACGCAGGGGTGACAGTCCACCAGCACAGAGCAGGCACGCGCAGGGGTGACAGTCCACCAGCACAGGGCAGGCACATGCAGGGGTGACCATCCACCAGCACAGGGCAGGCACACGCAGGGGTGACAGACCACCAGCACCGAGCAGGCACACGCAGGGGTGACAGTCCACCAGCACAGAGCAGGCACGCGCGGGATGACAGACCACCAGCACAGGGCAGGCACACTCAGGGGTGACAGACCACGAGCACACAGAGCAGGCACGCGCAGGGGTGACAGTCCACCAGCACAGGGCAGGCACACGCAGGGGTGACCATCCACCAGCACAGAGCAGGCACGCAGGGGTGACAGACCACGAGCACTCAGAGCAGGCACGCGCAGGGGTGACAGACCACGAGCACACAGAGCAGGCACACGCAGGGGTGACCGTCCACCAGCACAGAGCAGGCACACGCAGGGGTGACCGTCCACCAGCACAGGGCAGGCACACGCAGGGGTGACAGTCCACCAGCACAGAGCAGGCACACGCAGGGGTGACAGTCCACCAGCACAGGGCAGGCACTCGCAGGGGTGACAGTCCACCAGCACAGGGCAGGCACACGCAGGGGTGACAATGCACCAGCACAGGGCAGGCACACGCAGGGGTGACAGTCCACCAGCACAGAGCAGGCACGCGCGGGGGTGACAGACCAAGAGCACACAGAGCAGGCACACGCAGGGGTGACAGTCCACCAGCACAGGGCAGGCACACGCAGGGGTGACCATCCACCAGCACAGGGCAGACACACGCAGGGGTGACCGTCCACCAGTACACAGAGCAGGCACAGAGCAGGCTCATATGTTTAAGCCCCTCCATCATGTCAGCTTTGCCTGGACCCTTACCGTGCCCTAGCACTTCACCTCTGTGTGAGGCTGACAAAGTTCCTGCCTCTCTCGAGTCCTCTTGATCTGTGTTTTTATTTTTAATATTTTTTATTTTTCTCTTTGAATTGCAGAGACAATCAAAAAGAGGTCCTCTGTACAAAGCCCTGAGTCAGGAACTCCCTTCAGGTCTTCCACGTAGGTGTCAGGGACCCAGTACTTGAGCTGAGTTGTCACTTGTTGCCTGGGCCGTGCCTACAGGTGGCAGTCCGATAGAAGAGCTGAGTGTCCCTGGCAGCATCTTAATTTGTAGGCCAGTGTTCCTATTATTAATTTTTCAAAAAGGACTTAAACAAAATTGTTGTTTTCCTCTTGACCTTGGAATTTCAGTATTCCAAGGATGTTAGTTGAAAGGGACGCTTTAAGAATTCATGAGGTGCATTTGTTCCATTGAGCTCCATGGCATGGGGCACCAGGATTCCTGCCCACAGGAGGGCACTAACCCTACTACACAAGTTTTGCATCATGACCCAGGCCCTCTCCCTGCAAACCCGCTGCCCTGCAGGAAGCTCCTGGCACCCTGAGCTGGAGGTGGGAGTGGGCGTCTTCAGCACGTGCAGAAAGCTGGGATGAGGTTCTGCTGAGCCCGATGAGTTCACGTGTAGGAAGGTGATTCTCAGCTTGTGAAGAGGAAGAGGAAGCCCCCTCCCCACCATGGTCTTCCACCCCTGCCCTTCCCTCACCCCACCAGGGGCAGCCCTTGTGGGTCATCACACTTCCCAGCATCTGGGCCATCCCACTGGGCCAGGGTCTAGTTGGGAACCCTGAGACACTTCCCAACTTTGCCCAGCTGCCGTTGCCCACATGTTGGCATGTTGCTCCTGTGGAGTGGTTTCTTGGGGCTAAATCGCGAAGCCCCTGGTTGAATGTCTGACACTCTGTGTTTGCATCACAGTGTTCATAAAGAACTTTATTGCAGCAGTTCATTGAAGTTCAGATATTTTGAAAACAATAACAGGATTCAATTAAGCAAGAATAAGAAAATAGAAGCCTGCTATGCTTCTTCTATCCAGTGGGCATGTAAGCTTGTAGACTGTCCCCCCTGTGGGGTCCAGGACCACATTACCCCCAGTGTGGTGCCTGAGTCACAGTTCCCTTCACATGATCTCACGTGGTGATAAGACTGAATACTCAACAGATGACAGGACTCTATCTCTCTCGGACAGTAATGTCACCAGGCAATCCATCCGGAAAGTCTCCCGGTGCTGTCTGAGTCACCATGTTCACTTACTGACAGAAGGAAATTCTGCAGAGTGGAATGGATTTTTAAACTCTCCTGAAACTGTGTTACACAGAGCCCAGCAAGCTGAGCCTTCCCACGAGTTGCCTCCCAGTTGGTCTTTGTCCACTGTCCCTGGCTTCCTGCAGTAGAGGAGCCACCCAGGCAGTGGCAGGTGCCCCCTGGTCACACACCAATTTCCATGCTACACCTGCTGACCAGACCATGCGCTATGCATGCCACTGGCTGCCAGGGACCTGCTGGGGCCAGGGCAACAGTGCCCAATTGGCCACCATCAGAGTGGGCCCGGCAGGAGGTGCTGAGCCTCACCGACATGCCAGGAGGAAAGACCTGGAGTGTCTGTTCCATTAGCTCATGGAGCTGACAAGAAGCCAGTCAGCCATGCTGCTGATGACCTGGTGGACAAGCCAGGGGAGAACCAGGAGCCACCCCAGGGAGCAACAGTGGGAACTGGCTGCCATGATTATCTGACAGCCCGAATGTCAAAATTCTAGCTGCCCCAAACCAGTGAAAAGCAACCAGAGAAGAAATAGATCAGGCACATGGGTGAACAGTGAGCCACAATCTATTCTAACAGAGAAAATTATCTAAAATCAGAAAATAGCTGACTTATATGCTGTTCACAGCTATTAATATTGTGCAGCCATTAAAAATTAGTTTTAAAGCCTAAACAACAAGGGAAAGTTAAAAACATTAAAAATAAAGATCAAAATATGTAGAAGTGTAAGATCCCATTTAACTACATATAAAATACCAAAACCTTAACAGTCTTTATCTGAAAGAATTATAGATGGCTTTTTCCTTTTATAGTTTTTTTATTGTTGGAAAGTCAGGTTTTACAGAGAGGAGAGACAGAAAGATCTTCATCTGCTGATTCACCCCCCAAGTGGCCGCAATGGCTGGGGCTGAGCCAATCTGAAGCTGAGAGCCAGGAGCTTCTTCTGAGTCTCCATGCAGGTGCATGGTCCCAAGGCTTAGGGCCATCCTCTACTTCCCAGGCCATGGACAGATAGCTGAAAGGGAAGAGGAGCAGCCAGGACACAAACTGGTGCTCATATGGGATCCCAGCATATGCAAGGTGAGGACGTTAACCACTAGGCTACCACTCTGGGCCCCCTTTTCATAGTTTTTTTTAAACATTTCAAGAAGTCCTGTAGTGGTGCCTGAATAATCATTAGACACAAGTGTTACTGTTCTTATATGCAAAACACACGCAGATGACCCAAGCACCCACAGATGCACAATTTTTCAAAAGAACTGGACTTGGGACAACATACAAAATGTGTCCACTCAAAAATAGCAGCAACACGGGTGAGAAGTACACTATGCATGGGAAACCCTGGACTCCTTGGATCCCCAGCCTCAGGGCGGGCCAGCGGGAGCACGGTGCACAGATGTGCCGTCTGGATCCCCAGCCTCAGGGCGGGCCAGCGGGAGCACGGTGCACAGCCATGCTGTCTGGAGAGTTGTCCACTGCACTGCACCTCTGCCCTGTAGGGCCGTGATTTCATAGCATGCCCAGTTTTCACACCTGTTCTACGGATTCAAGTAGTATTTACAGATTCGACACTAGTAATCAGGAATTGCAATCTTGCCCACGATCACTGTTCTCCACAAGTTGGTTGTGAACTTAGCAGTAATATATCAATTTATCATCATTTCAATTATTAAAAACTCAGCCTTCACTAGTCCTTTATTTTTAATATGTTTTATATAATCTAGAAAGAGAAAGAATCATTGGGGAGCTGTGTCCCTAGAATTCAGGGTTTGGTCATGTTTGCAGTATTCGAGAGTGGTAAGTGGGAATGTCTGTGTTTGTACAGATGCGTTCTCTTGAGAAAAGCGTAAGGCAATACAAGTCCATGTTTAAGTTTCTGCATCTGAGTTGTACAAAGGGTATAATGGAATCCCTTGCAAATGGCTTTCAAATTAAAAGTCTGTAAGTTGCACTCTGTGAACTCAGGGACAGTGTGTGGCCAGCAGAGGGAGTCCCACCCAGGGTCCCTGCACTCCATGTGACCATGCCATCTCCATGTGGGACCCAGCTCCCTGCCAGAGTACACACTGAAGGGCAGAGCCGGCAACTTAGATCGCCACCGGCCACTTGGCTGGAGCTCCAGGCTCCTCGCTTTGGCCTGGCCTAGGCCTGGCTGTTACGGGCAGCAAGGGAGTGGACCAGCAGTTGAAAGATTGTTCTTTCTCTCAAGCTCTGTCATTCAAATAAGTGAAAATAGATCAAATTTAAGGTAAGTGGGTAGATGGGGCATGTACTGACTATCCCTGAGTAACACATGCAGGCTCCTCTATTTGATCAAATGCCCACTAAGGCCAAGTGCTGTGAGCCTTGATGAAGTGTGCTAGCAGCTGCCTGGTCCGCAGAACACGCCAGCTGGATTTGTTCTAAGCTGGTCTGGGCTCTATCTGCTTGCTGACAGGCTCTGCTTCTTCATTTCCTCTGATTGTTTCTAAGGAACATTTCTGATTGGCTCATATTCTGCCCGTGTGTGATTCTGCTCCCAGTGTCCCTGCCAAGAAAACGTGAGGAATGGAGTCCACATACTTGTGACTGGAGTCACACCTCTCAGCCTTTCACAGAGGAAAGAGAGACAGGCATCGGAAGAGTTGCTTCCTGTTCCTTTTGTGGCCCTATAATTTATTTCCCGCTATACAGAAATATACTTGGTGTTTTCCTGGAAAAGGAAAGTGGTGACATCAGTGGGCCCAGAAGCCTCTGTGCATTTCAGAGCCACATGTCCTTCAGAGAGCGAGCTGTGCTGTTGTCTTGTTCCCTTGCAGGCCCATGTGCTTTGTAAAGCAACTGGAGATCCCCCAGTATGGCTACAGAAACAACGTCCCCACAACCACACCGCGCTCCAACCTGGCCAAGGAGCTGGAGAAATACTCCAAGACATCGTTTGAGTACGGCGGTTACGACAGCCATGCTTACGGCAAGAGAGCCATAGCTCCCAAGGTGCAAACCAGGGATTTGTCCCCCAAAGGATATGACGATGGTAGGAGGTGCACACTCTTATACGTGAGAGACCATTGCCATTATGATGTTGTTGTTGTGTATATCCATGTGCTACACGGTGGGCCCACGTGTGCTCACATGGAGGGGTGGGGAGCCACGGTCCCAGGACACCCCCTGGCAGCTGCAGGGAAGGGGCCATCCCACAACCACATGTTGGGGGTGCAGGTGCAGGGGTGATCACTGGTCATTGCCACACCAGCAGCCTGGTCTGACAGATCTCTTTGAAGTTTGTGTTACTGGCAGATAGCACAGCGAGAGTCCATTCTCAGTCTAGTGAAGCAGCTGTCTGCTGTGGATCAGCTTGGCACATTCAGAGTGTGCTAAGCCACCGAGGCTGCCACAGACACAGTAGGGACTGCTAAAGTGCCCAAACCCTGGGGTTTCCAACTTGTGAGCAGGGTGACTGCTCACCTCCCCATCCTCCTCAGGCCTGTCAAGAACTTTGTGTTCTTGTCTAACTGGGGACAATGACGTGAGAAGCGAGTGGTGAAGGTGGTGTTGGTCAGAAGGCCACTCACTTGCTGTGTGTGGAACTCTGAGATCCGACACCTCACAGGAAGGGCCACTGTGGTTCCTTGGCGGCTTCCTGAATCCAGGTCCGGCGTGCTAGCCTGGGAACCACATCACTGCAGAGTTGATCTGGCAGGCAGCTTGTTGGAGTTGGTGGAGAAAGCCGGTTGCTGCCCGAGTTCACTCATGGGATGCTGTGTGTTCCATGCCCAGGATGCTGGGACCAGGGGCAGCGCTCTGGTGCTGGGGCTGGGGTTTCCAGTCAGGATGGTGCAGCAGAAGGGAGGGTTAGGTCCCTCTAGACTTCGTGACTCCTGGAGAAGGATAGTTCATGACCAGCACAGCTCACACACCAAAAGCACCTGCACTGAGTCCTGAGGAGAATCCTCTCGCAATGCAGTGTGAGTTTCCGCATGTGTCTCTAAGCTGTGCTGTTTCTTACCTTAGTAACAGTTTGTTTACTGAAACAGGTTTGGTTCTTTGGTGGGTCATCTACTGATGACACTTACATATCATTGCTCATATTCAGAAACCCAGATTGCAGCGACAGAAGGGTGTGAGTGCAGGTGTAGCTGGAATCCTGACTGGGCTTGTCTGCTTGTGCAGTGTAAGAGCGTGGGCTTGCAAGCTTTGTTACCTCCTGGGTCCCCGTGAGGACCGGGAAAAGTTCCCTCCCCACCACTGAGGCTCTGCTGCCATCCCCAGGTCCTTGGCATCTTGGGGCAGTCTGGTAAATTCCCTCAGTAGAGACTCGTTTCTGTGTGTCTGTTTTGAGGCTGCTGTCCTGTGTGGCCTGATTTCATCCACCTGGTTGTGAACTTGGCTGCAGCCTCAGGGCGAAGGGTGTGTCTGGGAGAGGCTCTGACCTTCAGGAGTGTGTCCACAGCCCTGACCTGAGAGGACTAGAAGCCAGGCCACCATTCAGGGACTGTGTGACCCCACGCAGCTGGATCCTTCTGGGCACCCCAACCCCAAGAGCAGAGTCGGGGGTAGGAGTCTCATACTGTTCCCTGCCCAGGCCATTGTGAAGGCCAGGCGTTGGCCAGCTGTGGATATGTGGTACCCACTGTCACTCACTGTCATGTGCCAGGGAAGCACAAGAACGCAGACAGGACACATGGTCACCAGCCCTCCAGAAAGCAGGAGTCGCTGGAACAGCCAGGCAAGGGCTCAGGGCTCGTTCCCTAGGCTGGGGTCAGGAAGCCACACTGACATCACGGCTCTGCAGAGACAAGTTGGCAGCTCTTTGGGAATAGCCTCACCTACCAGTCTAGCAATGTCACAGGGAGGGTTTGTGAAGACCAGGTGGCCTGGACTGGGCTGTCACAGGGACACAGTCCAGGACTGCTGACCTATGCCTGGGTGCCAGCTAGCAGACACTGGGTGACTGTACCTTTACCAAGCCTTGCTTCAGAAGTCCAAAGAATTGAGTCATCACTCATTAGAAACAGAACAATCAGCCTGTATGGGGAAGGAAAGGACCATAGCCAAGGAGGTGCAGATGGATTAGACAAGAAGGAGGGTGCCTGCCCAGTTTTGGGATGCCAGGGTTAGGGCCCCACAGCCTGCCAGGCTCTACCTGGTGGCCTATTAGCTTTAGACTGACTGCAGCTGCCTGTATATCTGTCCATACATTGGACTGGCTCTTCTTTCCAAGAACAAGTGAGAAACAAACCCTGACACGCAGGGAAGTCCAGTCCCTCCAGCCTGGGAGAATTGGTCTGAGCTGTGCCCACAGAGATAGCGTAGGCATGATCCCAAACTGGCATGGACATTATGTGAAGGCAAGTCTACCCATTGGCTGGCCAGGAAAATGGGGTCCAGAGAAACTGGCTTGGAGCTCCAGGAGGGAGAGGGAGAGGGAGAGAGTCATGTGTACCCTGAGGAGCTGGGTGCCTCCTGCAGGAAGCACAAATCTGTGAGGGCTGACCAGGAGGGTGGAGGCAAGGCATCCCTTGCACCCTGCGCCCATCCCTGCTCTGGAGCCACCTGCTCTTCCAAAGACTTCCCTGGGCTCCTAGCCACCCTGGGCTGCTCCCAGATGCTCCAACAGCCGTGTGCACCTGCCACTCATCCGCAGCCAACCATAGGGAAAATGCCTATGCCACCTCATCATGAATTCCTGGCAAGCAACTCTGTCTGCAGAGGCACCAGGCCCTCCTTGAGCATGAGGAGGGGCTTGAAGCAGAGCTTCCTCCCTGTTGGGTCTGGTGGGCAATGACTTGTGTTGATCCAGCAGGACATTCTTACCAGAAAGTACCTGCTGTTCAAGCCGGATTTTGTCTCCATGTTTTGGTTTGTTGGTGGTGAAACTGCGTACAAACTGCAGGAGCCGGTGCCCTGGATTGAGATGAGGGAGCCTGAATGGGATCAGACGGTCCCAGCTGCTGGCGGCTTTCAGGGCATGCTGCCTGTGTTGACTTTGCCTGTCTAAGACATGGGACCACACCCCACAGGAGGAGCAGGCTGCTGGAGGGCTTGGGGAGGGAGATTCTGATGCTGTTTGCAGCCACAGGGGACTCTCAGAGCCGCCTACGTCCTTCTCTGCATGCAGTGCCCACTGGACCTATTAGGCTGTTCTGGCATTGCAGCGGCCCTGGGAATGAACAAATGCTTTGTAACGTGCCGAACTCTGAGCGCCTTGGTCACTAGCTGTCCTTATCTGCTAATTGATGTGAAGCAACTTCCCTGGAAATAACTTGTTTGTCAGAGGAGAAAGCAGGTGCTGTCCTTATTAAGCTATGTCCCTGACAAAGCTGGGCTCACGAGGCAGGTTAAGGAGGCACCACCCACCTGCTGCTCACAACTCTGCAGCACTCCCTGGTGGCAGTGGGGTGACCACAGCAGTGCCAAGTGTGGCAGGAGTGATCTGCCAGGAGGCCCTGGGGACAGTGCACAGATGAGCCTCGGTTATCTCCAGTAAAGGGATGCCATTCCAGAGTGACCGAAGAGACAGAAGGCAGATACTGTTGTTTTGAGAACCATGTAGTAAGAAGAAATAGAGAAGAAAGCCAGTGCCAAGTGGTTGGATGAGGCCTGCTGTGTCCACACAGCATCATCCCAAAATGACCCCTTACAATTTACGCACCTGCAAGGGAACATACAACTCAGGGTGCCTGAGAGCCATCCAAGTGAGAGGAGGCCAGGAGCTGTGGGTTTACGAAAGACTCCCAGTCCTTACCTTTCTTCTTAATGCAAGTACTTCCTGTTTCCTGAGCTGGCTACAACCCCCCATCAGTGTACTGATATTCTCCAATGAGAATGTGAGAGCTGGAGTCACAGGCCTCGGGCTATACCCAGTTGTAGCTACAGATTCCCCATGGCTCGTGGGGACCATGGGACAGGCCTCAGCCTTCCCCCAGTCCTGCAGTCCATCACTGGATGTGGACATCTGCATCGCCAGCTCTGGGACGTGTTGGCACAGCCCAGTGGTATGGTGTGTCACACCGTGCAGGCTGGCTGTGTGCTCCTGGGCTGTATAGTGGAGTCTGGGTGTAACCTGGTATCTGTCAGGGGCTGGCAGTAGCCAGGGTGGCTCCTCTGGAGTGCCGAAAATGGTCAGGGTGACACTCTAAGGCACTCCGTCCTCATGTCCTAAGAGCACCAAAATTGAAGCTTTTAGCAACCACTTATTCCTCTTGATCTGAATCTGGTGTTTTGGTGAGCTTCTTGGGAAGGCTCCTGCTGACCATGTATGCAAAGTGCAAGGTAGTTGTTCAGCTTTCTTCCCTCTCTCCGGGAGGAAGTTGGGGCCCAGGTCCAGAACTGCTAATGCCACAGCAAACAGCCAGGGGAGCAGGCGGCTGCCAAACCTTTGTCCTCCCAGCATCGCGAGTGTCAGCATGGAGCTCTGCCAATGAGGACTAGGGCAGCCCATGCACAAGCAAACCCAGACACACCCCTGCCCACTCCTGACAGCAGCACCTTCCCAGGGGCCGCTCCGGAAATAAGGAGCTGAGAAAAGGAGTGACTGGAACAGGTGCGAGGCCAGGAGCCCCAGGTTCCCTGCCTTATCCCCACTGCCCCACTGAATTCCAGCCAGAGCGTATGGCCTCCGAGCAAACAGGGGGCTGCAGCCCTAACTGGCAGTGCTGGTCCTTAGCAGTCACCAGCCCAAACACCACCTAGCCTGTGTTGGGAGGAGTCTTGAGAACAGCTCTAGCAGACAGCCCAGGCTGCTATAAGACAGGTGAGGGGCACCTACAATCATGCCTGTGCCCACAGGTGCAACCCATGTTAGGATTATAGGATGGGGATGCTGTGGCCCCAAGTCCACATCCGCAAACCCATGGTGCCCACAGGCCCAGAAATGGCTACTGCATCCCCTCCCAGCTGAGGGAGCCTTGGCCTGTGACAGGTGCCACACCCAGGGAGCTGAACTTGCATTCCCTAAGGCTGACCCCGCTGGAGCAGCTGCTCCCCAAACTGGTCATCTCCCACTACAAGTGTGTGCTTTAATGGGACTTGGTGACCTCCCCCAAGGCAAACCCCTCCCTGTCCCTCTCACAGGAGGCCTAATGGAAGGAAGCCACCTGGGGGCCGCTTGCCTCTGCATCAACCCCGCCCCACGCTGTGTGTGTGAAGGCAGGGGAGGGGAGGGTGAGGGCTGGGCTGTGTTTCAGTTGTGCCCTGGGCTGGGAGTCAGCCCTGCCCATGTCCCTGCAGCCAAGCGCTACTGCAAGAACCCCAGCCCCAGCCCCAGCAGCAGCAGTAGCTACGCGCCCAGCAGCGGCAGCCTGAGCTGTGGTGGCGGCAGCAGCGCCAGCAGCACATGCAGCAAGAGCAGCTTCGACTACACGCACGACATGGAGGCAGCGCACATGGCAGCCACAGCCATCCTCAACCTGTCCACGCGCTGCCGTGAAATGCCGCAGAACCTGTCCACTAAACCTCAGGACCTGTGCGCCACGCGGGTACGCACCCCTGGGTGGGTGGGTGGGTGCGAGTCCTGCCGTGTTCTGCCTGCCTGGCCCAAGTGAACCTGAGCTCACAGTGCAGCCCATGTCATGCCTGAGACCCATGGAGAGAATGCACAGCTGCTCACACACCCCAGGGAGGCTGAGGCACCGCTGTCGGGAGACCCGCATGCTCAGGACATTGCCCAGTGAATTCAAGGCAGCTCTGGCTGGCATGGACTCCCAGATGCTGCGGTGGAGTGCAGATTCGGGGTTGGAGGGGGCAATTAAGGATTTCCCTTCTGGGATGGAAGTTCCTTCTGCCAGAAAGAACATCCTGGCCACAATCCTCCCCAGACACACGACCACAGAATGCTCTGCAGTCTGCTCTGCCATGGCAGCTGATGAGCCCGGCAGGGGAGCACTAGCCAGTGACCTAAGGAGCCAAGAGCAAGGCTGGCTCAGGAGAAGAAAGCCAAGGCTCACCCCACTCGCTCGCACTCAAGCAGGCATTAGGAGCCCCAGAGGGTAGGGAGGCTGGAAGTCAGGGAGGGGCTCGACTTCTACAGAACAGCTTACATGCTTGGTTGAGTGGCTACAGGATGGGCCTCGTCTTGGGGCATGGTGGGTGCGTGCTGGGCTATGGCTGTGGGACTCTACCTCCTGGACACACTCTGCCCTCCCCTTGCTGGATCTTGCCTATGCCATCAGATCCATGCACAATCCAGAGAACTTCAAAAAGTTCCTGCAAGATGAAACACAGGTTTAGATTTGTGCAAAAACTGTTGGAACTGTGCAGCTTTTTTATAATACTTATCTCCTGTGAACTGGTTGAAGACCCCTTATATATACAGATTTCAACAAATTTTATACCAAAATATAATCTTTTAATTGCATCTTCCATGAACTTCTAAAGTTTCTGTTAACCCACACCTCCCCTGTTTTAGTCTCTTGGGTACTGAAACTAGAGAGAAATTGAAATTTCTCCCTTCAATGACCGTCTTTTGCCCAAGCTCATTTCTAAAATTGAAAATATCTTTGAGAGAAAAGGGAGGGAAAAAGAATAGAAGGCAGCAAATACAGAAATAGGTGGATGGACAGTGACCAGATGGTTAGTGCATGGATGGACAGAAAAACTTCAGCGGGTGGGTAAAGGGCAGGTGAAGAGTCAGATGTGTGTACAAATGGGAGACTGGTGGAGGGCTGGGTGTGTGGGTGGGTGCCTGAGTGGACAGGTGGAGGGCTGAGTGTGTGTGTGTGGATGCCTGGGTAGACAATTTGGAGGGCTGGGTGTGTGCATGGCTGCCTGAGTGGACAGGTGGTGGGTTGGGTGTGTGCATGAGTACCTGAGGAGACAGGTGGAGGGTTGGATGCATGGGTGCCTGGGTAGACAGGTGGAGGGCTGGGTGTGTACATGGGTGCCTGAGAGGACAGGTAGAGGGTTGGGTGTGTGCGTGGGTGGACAGGTGGAGGGCTGGGCATGTGCATGGGTACCTGGGTGAACAGGTGGAGGGCTGAGTGTGTGGGTGGACAGCTTGAGGGCTGGGTGTGTTGAGGGGTTCCTGGGTGGGTAGACTTGGGTGGGTGGATAGACAGACAAATGGGTGGCTGTGTGGGTAGGCAGATGACTGAATGGACAGATGGACAGTTGAGTGAGTGAACGGATGGAAGATTGATGGGTACATGGGCAGGTGGATGGCTAAATGAGCAGCTGGGTGGGTGAGTGTGTCCTTGAGGGTCTGCAGCTGCACCTGGATAGGCCGGGTGGCCCCTGCAGGACTGCTGTGTTCACCTAGAGGTGCTGGAAGGAGCTCCTCTGTGAAGACAGGACTATGGCCTGGGGGCTAGACAAGGCACTGCAAGTGAGCCAAACCAAGCCAAACCACCCTGTTTGTATCCACAGAATCCTGATGTAGAGGTGGATGAGAATGGGACCCTGGACCTCAGCATGAACAAGCAGAGGCCGCGGGACGGCTGCTGCCCCATCCTGACCCCCCTGGAGCCCATGTCGCCTCAGCAGCAGGCGGTGATGGGCACACGCTGCTTCCCGCTGAGCGAGGGTGACTGCTGGGACCTGCCTGTGGACTACACCAAAATGAAGCCTCGAAGGATAGACGAAGAGGATTCCAAAGAGATCACCGTAGGTCCCTCCCCGACCCACCGGGGGCGTGCAGGGCTTGGGAAGGGGCCGCCAGGTGTACAGGTGCCTCCAAGTGATGGATGCTTGTTGCTGAGGAGTCTGTTTCCTTACCAATCATTTCTCTAAGAAGCAGTGTGGATGGCACCCGGGGTCATCCTGTGGTGAGCAGTGCCAACCCAGCGTTTCTCCCAGGAATCAGTCCCTCGACTGGGGTGCTGTGCACTGTCAGCTCGCTGCCTTCTTAAGCTGCAAGGAGAGTGACCTGAGGGCGGGCCCCCCGCAGCAGCACCACATGCAAGGCCCAGAGCATGTTTTTAAGGTAGTCACTATCTGAACCTTCAGGTCATTAAAATAGAGCTAATTCCTCTTTAGGCAAAGAAATAGGTTTTCATTTTGTTTACTGGACCTTCTCTTCCCAGTCCAGTTCTAAAGAATGTGACAGTTGCAGTTGACTGGAAAATGAGCGTATTTTAGTACAAAAGGGAGGCCACCATCGAAGTGACAGGATCCCACGGTGGCAAGGAGTGTGGTGGCCATGCAGGGAAATGGCTCCTAGACGGGCACAGGCAGTAGAGGTGCCTGTCCAGGAGCCACTTCCCTCATTCTTCAAGTTCACTTAGCCACCTTGCATCCCAGATGTCTGCTCTCCTCTCCTTCAGGATGGAAGTATGTATTTTAGTGAAAGTGAAATCCTCAGACCACACTCAAAGCTCAGCCTCTTGTGACCACAAGCCTGCTGACATTGCTCGGTCACTGCGACCCGACGCCCTTAGCCCAAGCAGTAAGAGTGAGTGACATGCACTGAGCACGCCTGGTCTATGTAAAGTGATTCTAGCTGTTGGCACAGACTCCTCGGGTAGTTGTAGGTGTGGCACTCCTGTAGGAGTCGGCGTGCAGCCCAAGTGCTGCCTGAGGCAGTGGTGCCCGGCCAATGGCTGGCGGTGTGCGCTGACAGAGGCCAGCATGGAGCGGTGGTCAGCGGCGGCTGGCCAGGTTCTAGCACTGAGGGCAGGGGATGAACACACCACTTGCTTTTGCAGAAGGAACTTGCCAAGCCAGAGCTTCAGGAGATTGCAGGCTGAGCAGGCTGAGGCCGAGCCCCGCGGGCCGCCCCACACTGCCCTCCTGAACCTGTGTTTTGCCTGCAGCCGGAAGACTTGGACCCATTCCAGGAGGCTCTGGAGGAGAGGAGGTATCCCGGGGAGGTGACCATCCCGAGTCCCAAGCCCAAGTTCCCCCAGTGCAAGGAGAGCAAAAAGGACTTGATAACGTAAGCATGGCGGGAGGCGGCAGCGGCTCTCCGGCCCCCTTTCTGCCTATCTTTAAGCCCGGATCTGCACAGGCCTTGCGTTTGAGCATGCGACACCCGCAGCCCTAACTGTCTTGAGCTGCGGTCTTGCAGAATGAGGAGCTGACCGTGGACTTGCTTGTTGTCACCGCTGCTGCCATGCGGTGCGTTCCGCAGCTTCTCTTCTGGGTGCTTAATCCCCCTCGCAGACATTGCAGCTAAACTGGAAACAATGAAACTTTTTTTAAAAAAAAAAAAAAGTTAAAAAAAAAGAAAGAAAGAAAAAAGAAAAAACCTACTTACTATTTTGGCTGTTTTTGTTTTTGTTTGGTGGCAGATGTCCAACTCCAGGGTGTGATGGGAGTGGTCATGTGACTGGTAATTACGCCTCACACAGAAGGTGTGACTTCATTTTTTTCATGGTGGATTCTGTCTTTTCAATTTATTGTTTTCAGCTTACCTCAACAATGCTGTCAAAGTAAAACTGTTGAATTCTATGTCAATCCTCTAAGTGCTATATGTTGACCTTCAAAAGCTTGTTGATTTCGCTGGTGTATAATGTCTTTTAATTCTTAAATGAGCTACCTAAATTCACAAAATCTTCTCAAAGTTTAAACCAAAAGGCATAAGTATTTTATCTTATTTTTAAAAATACATGTCTTAGCAGCAATGCTTTCCTAACTTGATCTTTGGACATATACAGAGTGGATTAGACCTAAAAATTCAATATACAGCACTTGCCCCATTGCCCCATTCAACTTTTTGATTTTGCCCTTCATGTTGTCTTTGTTCGGGAGGCGGCGCTGGCCAGCGGTGCACTCACCTGCCTCTCCTGGCCTGTCTTGCAGTCTGTCCGGATGCCCCCTGGCGGACAAAAGCATCCGAAGCATGCTGGCCACCAGTTCACAAGAACTCAAGTAAGCCTTATGGGAATGGTTCTCTACTACAAAGCTGTTGGTGCGGCGGCTCCTAGGCGGTGGGGCTTGGCCAGGAATCACGGGGCGTCTGTGTGCCTCTGAGTCCCCGGGGCTGGCCCTGTGTCCAGCCACCTTTCTGCCTTTGTCCCTGACCTTGGCCAACTCCAGTTCTTTCCCATCAGACCCTGTGTGCCTCATGCTTGAGAGCCCTGACAGCTGACCCTCAGACACTTGCACGCAGAGCTGCTCAAGCATTCAGGAAACCTTTGTAATTTTGGGAAACTCTAAAGCATTGTACACATTGGAAATGTGAATGCTTCGATAGCATCAAGGCTAAGGTTCTGCGAGGACAGAAAGTGTCCTGTGCCTTACATGTCACATGGCCTTAGTGGATGCTTCTGTGGTCACATGCTCACCGCATGGACACACGCGTCCTCTGGTAGTTCCACACCCCTCCGGTGCCCACCTGTGACTTTGCAGCATGGGCATGGCCAGTGGAGGCAGCTAGCACCAGACAGTTTCTCCTCCTGTGTGCCCCACATTCAGGTCCTACGCAAGTTTGGAAGAAGTAGGGACAAGTCGCAGAGAGCATAGCAAGCCCATACCCACCCAGGTCCAGCATCTAGGAGCATGAGTAGGGAAGGAAGACGTGTGCTTGAGCCTGCCACGGCTCCTGTCGTGATGAGAACTAGGGCTCCCAAATCGCTGTTGGCGTCTCTTGGCATCCCATCCCGCTTGGTAACGCACTGCTCGGTTGTCGATCAGTGTGAGAAGGCTTTGCTGCACAGGCAGACAGCGCTTGTTCCCAGGCATACACCTGGACCCTGTCCTGGCACAACCCCAGCCCAGATGGCGGACAGGGCTTTGTCTCATGCCATGTCATCTCTTGCAGGCTTCCTGCCCAAGGCCCTAGTGCCATAGATCACCTGCTCGTCTTCAGTGACTTCCTGTACTAGCCTTTCCGACAACAGAGCTTGGCCTTTGCTTCCGCAACACAGATGCCCTGGGCTTCCTCGGCTGTGGCACATCCACAGCACTGCCTCTGGACAGACCTCAGAATTGGGGTGCTGGCAGGGCCATATTGGCCCGAGGGTTGGGATGTCCCTCTGCCCAACCACACATGTCACGGCCAGCACGTGACCTCCGCACGCAGAGCTGGGCACACTGCCCCACATTTCTTGATGAGAGTGCCTATGTATGCTAGCCACATCTGCAGGCCACAGAGACTGGCTGTGCATGGAAAGGAGCCCTGCCACCTGCCCAGGTCCCAGGACCCCGGGATCAGGGCTGTCTGTGGGTGTGGCTGTCACAACTCACATTCTCACGCCCAGCCTGAAGTTCATGTTGACCCAAAGTCCCCAGCAGACCTGTTCTTTCTCTGCTTCTGGCACTTTCACCTTATCTTCCTTCACCATCAACATCTTCAGAGGTGGGCGGCCCTCTAGGCACAGTCCCAGCTGGGCCTGGGTGGGGCCCATCACCTCTTTCTTCTGGGCAGTGGCCCATGCCTGATTCCACTCCATCCGAGAGCCACACCCATTCCTAACCTTGTCTCTGCAGAAAGTGGGTTCCATACTGATGGTCCATTCTGGAAAATATGAGCCTGATTGACTTCCCAAAATGGTCTTTCTCAGTTAAGGACTCTGCAGAACAGGAGTTTCAGCTACAAGTCTCTTTCAAAAAAGCCGAGTGTTTAAGCGACAGACATTGGCTTGATGACGCATCCTTGGAAACTGGTGAAACCACAGACTGTGCCCATTCTCCTTTAAGCCTTGACACTGACAACAGCTTCTCCTCATTGCTGGTCCATTTGTTCATCTAAAAATGGTCTTTTGGACAATTTTACCAAGCACAGAAGCCTGCATTCATCTCTTTAAAGCTTCCAGCAGTTTTCTGTAGAATAATCCAGGCATGTGCCTTCTTGGACATGTTATCCATGTGTGTATGTTTTTAAAAGCTCTGATTAATCTGGGCAGCATCTTGCTGCCTCGGTGTGCAGTGCAGTGCTCTACCCTTCCCAGAGACATCAGAAAGGGTTCACAATCTTCTCCAATGGGCGTCAGCCAACATCTGAGAGTCTCTGGATACTTTGCTCTTGCCACATCCAACATTGCATCGTGGGAGTTGGCTGTTATCACACACAGACATATTCTGCCCATAAACTCTGGGTCCTGCTTGAGGCAACACTTGGACGGGTATCATCTTGGGCAGCTAGTATGGGGCAGCAGGCAGTCTGTGTTTGGTTTTGTGTAGGATGTAAACTGGGCACATATTAAAATGTAGAGCATGCACAAATCTTAGTCGATCTTTGCTCCTGGCCCATTCAAAGGGGATGCTTAGTCCTGGGCCAGAAGAGGTGGCGGTGGTGGGGCATGAGGGAAAGAAACTGGACAAGGTAAATGGGAGTCACCCAGGCCAGGAACCCCTGTGCTCTAACACACAACCTTGGTACCATGAGCTAAGTCTGCAGTCACACCACACCTGCTGTGAACCCAGAACACGGAAAACCCACAAGAATAACGCTGGGTACACCCACATGAGTTCTCCTGGTGAGAAGTCAGCCTCACACCAGCTCTGACTCCAAAAGGAAGTTTGTTCTCTTACAGCTTCCTGGTAGAGCCTACAAAGCTTAGCATCATGGTCAGGCTTTTCATCTTAAGGAACCGTGTCTTCCCAGGAGCTCTTCTGCCTCTGGAGGTGTGCTCAATGGCAGACACTGGCACAATGTAGGTGAGTTAGCTCCAACAAAACCCTATGGGAGCCAGATCAAGTGGGCTTCGATCAGAGGCAGTTAGCACTAAAATGGGCTTCCACTTCCACTCTGCTAAACTTAGAAATGCTTGTTGGCTGCTCCGTCTCCCAGGAACCTTTAGTGTGCGTCCTTGACAGGAAAGCAAGTTGAGGCCCATGATTCACCCTCTTGTTGATCACTGAGGGGGCGCGCAGCTGTTTAGTTTCCTGTCTATATCCCAGATATTTGAAGCTTAAACAGATAAGAATTTTACCACATGGAACGTACATCCTTTTTCATTAAGCTTAGGTTATGTTGATTTTGAATAAATCACAAATCAAAGAGATAAAACTATGAACTTCAGCCCAGATTTTACATTTGCCCAAATGTCACTCTAGGTTGCCCTGGCTGGTTGCTCAGGTGTGGGGCAGTGTGCTGCAAGGCCTTACCTACCTGGGTACATTGGACATGCTCACCCCATACCCCCACCGTGCCGACAGCAGGGGCGGGGGAAGGGCTCCTGGGTATGTCCCTTTCCTCGTCCTGCCTCCTCCGCATCATGACAGCTAGAGCTGTGTGTACTGCCCGCAGATCTCTCAGCTTGCTTTACCGCTGGCCTCAGTGTAGGTCTGGCCCCTCTGCGGAGGTGCCCCCTTCAGAGACGGCTGCTGTGGACCACCTGGCTCCTGTGAGGGAGGCTGCCCTCCAGCAACTATCAGGGGCCCTTTGAGATGTGAGCGGCAGAGCTGTGATGAGACAGGCATCCATGTACCATCCCCAAAGCCGCTTAGCACTGCTTCTGATGAAGTGCTGCCTGCCTGGGGAGGGCAAGTTGAAGTGAGCTTCACCCCTCGGAGGTGGGCAGCAGTCATTCCTCTGGGTCAGGTGCACAGGGGTCAGCCAGCGGAGCCAGCGCTTGCATGCCTTCTTCCCACGATCAGCACTGGCTCGCACCCCACAGAGCCTGGGAAGCAGCAGAGATGGCTCGTGTGGGCCCGGCCACCCTCGTGGGAGACCTGGATAGGGCTCTGGCTCCTGGCTCCTGCTTGCCGAGACCTGGCTTTTGCAGCCCTTCGGAGAGTGAACCAGCAGGTGGAACATCTATTTGTCTACCTCTTCCCCTCTCTGTCACTGTGCCTCTTGGGTGAAATAACAGACCTTTGAAAAATGGCAGAAGTGTAAGTGTAGCCATGTAATGATCCCTCACACCCAGTCAGACCCAGGCCACATGTATACATTGCATGCACATGTGCAGTGTACATGTGTGTGTAAGTATGCTTACTGGGTACAGACAGTGCGTGTGACCACATATGTCCACATGCACATGTATACACAAATATTCTCTCATCTACTCATATGCCTGTACATACACACTTAGTCTCACAGTTTTACTATAACCAAGAAATTTCTATGTACATTTTTGAAGATTTACTCATCATTTATTTACTTGAGAGGGTGATAGAGGGGGGAGACAGAGAAGGGGAGAGATCATCTCTTTGCAGGTCCACTCCCCCAAATTACAGCAACAGTGGGGCCAAGTCAGACTTGAGCCAGGTCTCCCACATGAGTGCCAGGACCCGGGTCCCTCAGCCACCATCCTCTGCTTACCGGGGGCACTGGCTGGAGGCCGCAGCAGAAGCAGAGAAGCTGGGACGCAGGTGACACTCAGCTACAAGATGTGGGCATTGCAAGCCAAGGCTTGAAGAATCTTTTCGCAGCACCCCTGTCCCCCACAGTGCTTCTCACATGGGATCAGCCTGAGCAGTATGGCACTTCTGAGCCAGACATTGATGTACAGCATGGACTTAGATCTATCGTCTTTATTCCGTCTGAAACGTTGGCACTGTGGATTTTCCAAATACTCTGTAAGATACAGTTTGCTGCACATGGGTATTCTTTTATTAGAATAAATAGGACCAATTTAAAATAAGCTCCATATAGGAAGTGTTAGCTAAGTACAATATAACAAAACTTCTAAAATAAGAATGTTTGAGAGGACTCAAATTATCTATGCCTGCTCACACATGCACACATGTGTGGCAAATGTGAGCATGCAGCCAATAGTAAGTGGACCCATGCTGGATAGCTCGGGTCCTAGGGCATTGGCCACATGAAGAGACGAAGTCCCAGAGCCCAGGGTCCTGCTTCTGAAGTTGCCATTGCTGTGGCAAGCCCGGCAGGAGGCTCCCACTGCTGGCCATGCCCACCTGTCCAGGGCCCTGGCACTGCTGCTCTGCTGGAGCCCTGCTCAGAGTCACCTTCCTTTTCT